ACTTTAGTTAGCTCAGACGGCTATTTCAAAACTTATTGAAAACCCTGTGTTTTAAAGAAGAAACCACCTTTTCATCTTTATCGAAAAGAAAATCAACAAAAGCCCTTCACAAATAATAATTATGTTTACGGTAATTTAACATTGGTCTGAACTAGGGAACTAATTATAATGCAAGTCTGAAACACGGTTTTGATTTAAGGGTCAGGTCATAAATAGGGTTTCGAATTTTTGGTCAGGTCATAAATAGGGTAGGGAATATCGCAGATTTTGGTCATAAATAGGGTAGGGGTTTTGGGAAGCAGGCCACACACCCCCACCCAATATTTCTGGGAGTACCCCCCCTCCCCGGGCTGGCCTCAGAGAACATAAGGTTCATCAAGCTGTCACACCTACAATCAAACATTATGATCCAAACTGGAAGCTCTGTAGCACACAGCTTTGCAGTAACTGCTCCAATATTGGAATATATTGGAAACAATATCCTAAGCTTCAAAGATGGACAATAACAACTAACTTATGAATTCATGCTGTGTACCCTTCATGTCCTGTCAGTGCAAGAAGTTTCCTTTCTTCTTTCAATAGTTTCTCTCTTTCAGTATCACATTCTAGAACACTCTGAAGAACTTGTGTCTCATCACCAGTCACCTGCAAAGTGTGCATTAATTGTACACAACATTGTGTGATCAGAACCCAAATATCCAGTGTTATAACAATGAAAAATAAGTAAAAAAGCAATCAGTTCATGGGTTAACAGACACATATCTATTAATATTTAATTTATTACATTTTGGATAGCTTTTTGCTTAGTACTGAAAGTGTTTAAGATTGCTAATTAACTGTAAGAAATGAAATTAATTACCACAAAAATGCGAGGTTTTCGATATAAGATTGAACATGTTTAAAACACTAAAGAGATTTCGATCTATGTTTCAAAAAAGTACTTGTCATAGATGTAATAATTAAAATCGAAAACTTTAAAATCCTTTAGATTATTATACCACTGTTGCCATTTTAAAAAAAAAATGATTGTTGTACATAACATCATTCTTATTGATTGCCACTCATTTACATGTACCTTTATATTTGTTGTTAGTAGTTGATGATTCATAACTAAATCAATGACAATTCTGTTTACCTGAAAATACTCTTAATTCTCATCACTTGACAAAGTGAAATGTTTATCATTTATGAAACTTGATGGTTTGGAAGAAAGTAAGTTCCTTTTTACACAGTCAATCAACATACCTCTTGTGCAACACACAGAATAGAAATGTGAGATGGAACAAATAACTCACGCCTGAAGGAAAAAAGCAAAGAGTCTAGCTCAACAATCAAGAACTGGTCACAATGTAATGGGCAATAAATACATTAAATTTAAAATTGTAGTAAATTTTATTATGTACTGTCATTAAATAAATCTCTCTTAATGATTAAGATACAACAGGCTTATCCTTCTGTCAAGTGAATATTTACAGTACACATGTAATAATTAACAATTAGACCCGTAGCCCGCAAGGGCTACGGGTCAATAGCCNAATAGTCCTCTAGTAGTGTAGCCAATCAAAATGCAGGATTTGCATTAGTCCACTAGTTGGGTGATACTAATTATTATTAATAATGAACTTTGCAAACAGGAAATTTCCACTTCCTAACATACATACATGTACATTACCTGGAGATCATTTTAATAAGCGTTGTCTTCCCAATGCCATTTCTTCCAACTAAGCCATATCTCCTACCAAATATTAGTGTCAAGTCTGCTTCTTTCAGTAAAACTCTGAAAAATATCATTTACAGGTATTAAGATTAAACTCACATATCTTGAGCAGCTGTGATTTGACACACTGGACGAATTTAAATCAAGATGGGTAAAACATTCTGGAATCAAGATAACTAGAGTTGTGCCTACCTGTCTGCATAAGAGAGATCAAAGTTCTCTATCCTAATATCTCGACTTTTGTTTGTACCACTGGCTTCTAGTTTGTTTTCTCTTTTGTTTGAGCTCTGGCAAGCTGAAGCATTATCTATTTGCCTGCCAACGGAAGGTCAGAGTCACTTGTTATCACAATTTTCCAGACTAGCTGTTGAAATAGCTTCATGTTAGAGAAATATGTACATATCTGCAATCCTTGTCAAATTCTGCGATATCATACACATATATTACCTCCCTCTTATCTCATTAATAGGTTCTCCATCCTGGGCACGTTTCTCCTGCTTTGCTTTTATTTTAGCTTCAGCTTTTTGCAATTTTTTCTGATCTACAACCTGAATTTAAAGTGATATGTCAAAAGCATTAAAATCACAACAATATCACAGTTAAAACTCCACTGGCAAGCACAACTCTCCAAGGAGACATTGACTAAGGATGTTATTAAGTTTCTTTTCGTTTCTTTATTACATAAAACAAATAGATTCCATGTGAAAGTATTTGATCACAGATGTCAAAATATGGTAAGAACATCATTCAGTGACACACTCAGCTATTGTCTTGTGTGCCCCATTTTGTCCTTACCACATTTTGATGTCATCTGCAATCGACTACTGAACAGATGCATGGTAATATGGAAACTATTTGTTATATCGTCATAAAGCTATAAGAGGAAAACAACGGACGTTTTTTATTATGTCAAGCAATATCAACAAAACACACCTCCATAGCTCAATTTACCATGATTCTGAATTTAGTAAATATTTATCTTAATTTAGTAAAGATATCAAGTTTAATAAGAATCTGTTGCAAACTCATGAAAACATGGGAATTTTTACAAAGAAATATAGGAACATGACATATATATTTTTATTAGACTAGTATTGTTTATAACAGAGAAGGTTATTGAGATGTCTAGGTAGTGTCATTTTATTTGCTCACCGGAGAACATCTTGTGAGTGATGGATTCTTGTGTGTGCTATTTTAGAATTCATGTTGTGCACGGATTGTGATGGTGAGTGGTAAAGACAAGGTTGTTCACACTTGAGTATATACAGGAAGTCAATTCCAATGAACTACATGTAAATATGTACAAATAAATGAATTTTGCCAGTCACTGGTTGTTAAAAACTTTGCAATGTTTTGATACAGGTTCACACTGTACTTAAAGCTATTAAAAAGCAATAATTCTAACTGAATATAATCATACTTGATTTCATTATTTGTTTATCAATTTTCATGTTATCCTTTCATCAAACTCACTGTATTACTTTCTCTCTTTACAATCCAGATACTTGACATTTCATCCTCCAGCTGAGGTTCTACAGGTTCAAATAAAACAACTAATATAACTGCTGTAGGTAAATTTGTTCTTTAGGTTAGAATGATTACAACCTTAGATTAACTTGTTTCAGCCTATATGTAAACCAGTTTATTTTTTTCCAATCTTTGGAGGTTCTTAAAGAGAATAACATGCACACCACCCACCTCCCTAAGTTCCTACCCCTACCCTACCCTGCCAGAATCCCATATCAACCCCACTAACCCTAACCCTAACCCTAGACCTAACCCCCGAGATAATTTTTTATTTTGTACTTGCAAACTAGATTTGAACACCCGATCTCTGACTTTGTAGTCCACCTTCACCTACACTACATGTAGGCCATTCAAGCAATCATTGCAAATTTGTTCAAATTTGTTACTCAAATAAGTTATGGGTCACAGACTTTCCCTTCCCCTTTGACATAGGTTGAAATCATTCTGAAATCAATTCCTTATTAGAAGGCGAACGCTCTGGTCATAAACCTTCAAACACATGTATTTTGAACACCCCACACCTCTTTAGAATGTTGTTTCGTCTGCTTGATTGTTGGAAAGCAACATGTAACAACATTGCAAAGGAGTGTGGTGTGAAGTGTTTAAAGGAATTTTGACTAGGATTGTACACTGTAGGTCAATAAAGGGGAGATAAAATAAATGCAGGCTTTGTGCCATGATCTTGAAAATTGAAGACACACAGAGTTGTATAACTTTAATTTATAATTTCAATAGCACATGTAACACAGATTTTGTTCCAGTGAACATTTCTTGAATTATAATTTCACACAGCTTTGGTGCTTCCACCATACATTTCACTTCATGTATCTCAAACACTGTTTGACTTCCTGTGGTGTATATATACTTGCCATGCTATTGACTAGTAAATGCAGTTTGAGCTATTACCTAAATTTTCTGCCATCTCTCTCATATTGACAGGGGCTTGGAGTAATTTGTGCCTCCCTTGATCTGTGGTTGTGCCATTGCATCCACTGCTATTAAAAAAATTGATACATCTGTATATGAATAATCAGGGTAGCCTTACACAACTCAAGTATCCAGTTATTATTTGGCTAGACGCAAATCATCAGGTACAGTCTAATTTTATCTAATTCTGTTAATACTGACATAGACATATTTGCTGTCTTTTTCTGAGTGACATCTGTGTAGACGTTTCAGTCTCTGTCACTCTCATGATGTTGTTGAACTCTAGCACCGAATTGCAATAAAAAAAGTTTAATTTGCATGGATCGTTCTTTTCCAGATTTTGACTGATGTTTATATAAATGAAAAGGTCCCAAATGGAAAAAGACACTTTCCAGCATGTACAGGAAAACCAATTTTCCAGTGACTATGATGTAACAGCATGAACATCATTCTCTTGCTAGCTTGACTACTTAAATAACGGTTAAATTACAGGTAATACGATAATTTTATCTCTTACAGTACCAGTAATACATGTACTTGATTTCTCTCAAAAAATTCCCCAAAAACCAGACTGCTTAATCTTGAGTCCAGTATACTACCCATTAATCTCCAACATATTTTGAGGATATACAAAATTGTTACAAATTCAATTGCTTGTTTCTACATACCCTTTTAAAGCACCCATTAGTTGGTTACAAATGTCAATGATGTCCTCTTCTCCTTCATCTCCTGCCACCTCTGTGAGTATACTCCCCACAGCATCGTGAATATCTTCACCACTCTCAAAATCATCTGATCCACTTTCAAGAATGTCTGAAGTCAATGTTCCAAACCATCAGTGCTTGCAAATGCATATTTAAACCGACTACTAATAAATTTCCAAGCTTGAAAGATATATTTGGCATATATTATAATAATAAAAAGCTTGTTTAGTTATAGAATGAGATTACTAAGTTCCATAGGGCTAACTAAAAATAAAAAAAGTTAAGTGCCCTGATAGGTCAGTTTGTTTATTGTAGTTGACAAGTTGAGCTTCCAAGGACTGCTAGGCAAAAAGCCATATAATAAACAATTTATTAACCTCAAACATTCAGTCCTTATGGGAAAATCTCAAACCTCCACCTTGCCATATTGACCGAGCGATAGCGAGGTCAATATAGCAAGGTCTGGGTTTGAGATTTTCCCATAAAGGCCTCACTCTCAGTCAATAAGTAGTTAGTAATGTAATACACAATATATTTATTAGTTATTTATATCTGGGTACATTCCTTATGAACAAAGATCCTTACTAGGTTATCTCTGTCAGCTACTGTGTAATCTCTAGGTATATTTATTTTTATTAGCTATAAAAACAAGGCAATCCAGTCAACTTATTGATCCTATGTAATTTTAATGAACTGAGATCCCTAAGTTATCTCTATAAGCTAAGACCCTTGAGTAAGACTCCAAGGTAACCCCTATCAGCTAAGATCCTTGGGTAGTACTTGCACTCAGCTGATAACCCACACAACCCAGGGTTGGCGTGATGTCCTCTGGATGTTGCTGACATAATATTTAGATTTAGAACACAGCTAAGAATGGTGAACCTTTGTCAATTCCTTGCAACTACATGCAAGAATCTGTAGGAAGTCACCCCTAAACTTTCTGCTGAGCTAAAATGACCAGGAAATTTCTTTCACACAAGATCTCTAGACAAGGCTAATTAACTACGAAATAACATCATGTAATCTCTAAAATTTGAGAGCTCTACACATTCCTTATCAGCTAAGAACCCTCTATAGTTTCAAACAGCTCAGACCTCAAGCAATCCAATAACCTATTTCAAATCAAATTAAGATTATTTAAGAGGTCTGATTTCGCTCTGACTATTGGCATATCACGATATAATTTGAATCCCAAACAAAGAATGACAACCAGCATATCTTATAGTACCCGGCAATGATGTTTTTCAACTAAAACCTGTTACGTAATCCAAAACAATGAAATACCGGAACTAAAACGACATTGAAGTGTAAGCCCTAGTTGTAGAAAACGCGACGTACGAAAATTGACTCGACTTCCAAACCGCAACCTGACCAAGAGTCAACACGACATCAATACCATGCCCAAGAATATGATTATATCCACAATCAACGATCTAAAACTTAACTTTACATAAGACTTGATTGAGATTACCTTTCCTATCTCAAAAGTCACTGAAAACGTATACGTATATAAGATTTCACGAAAAGTGAAGCAGGGCTGTCACACAGAAACTAGCGAGCCGAACAGAAATCAGGAATATCCGTTTGAACAAAAATAATACGTGAAACATTTACCTGTCACATACTGGAAAAGATCGTCGTCTATTGAAGGAAATCTCTCTAGAAGAATTTGCCGGCAGGTATCAAGTCCGTCCGCCATGTTGTTTCACCATCAATGGAGCCCACAATACAATTAGAGCGGTAAATGCTTCAAAGAAGGTAGGTTGTCATGTATGAGGACATATATTGTTGCATCAATTGAAACGCATAAAAGATGGACAGGGATGGAAGGAAGAAATAACCGATGCTGGGCCGATGCTGGTAAGCCTTCCAAAAAGTGCCATACTGATGACATAACCTGCATAGCTCGGCTAAATTTGTTGTCACTTGATCATGACTTTCCTGAGAATGTAAACAACATTTCAGGGAAACCCTAAAATATGGAATCGGGAAACCGAATCCTGAAATCGAATCCTGAAATCGAATCCTGAAATCGAATCCTGAAATCGGAATCCGGAATCAGTCTCAAATCAAAGAAAATAAGTTCTTCAAATACGCGAAAATTACGTTGCCTGTAAAATTAAAGAGGCCAATAAAAAGGACCCCTAAACTTCACTTGTATAGAAACAAGGATCCCCCGCCTGTCGAAATTCGTGCAACCTGGTGAGAGCTATTGTCATGGGAAAATTTACCAGAGTGGCCTTCATGTCCAGAGAAGAAGCTAGCAAATTTTAATTTTATAGAGAACAGGCTCTCCGTCAGTGGCAACAAGCTGTACCTCGACGCCTTCGACGGTCGCGCCTCTCACTTTCGATATCGCAAGGCTAACCTGGCTCGTCTAAATAAGTTTGTTGTTCCCATCATACGCCGAGATGAATTCTAGAGTAACACTATTGTCAGACCGATACTATTACAAATCAGCATCAGATATTCTTGTAAGCCATCATATTAAAATAATTTATTGAACTGTTGCACACTTACTTCCTTGTCCTTCTTGCTTGTGAACGGATCGGACCATATATGTTGCTAAAAGATGGTGAAAAATTGCCAGAAACTCATCGCACGCAAACATCACTTTGATGTCAATGCTGTGACAATAGACCCTTTGCACGATCCGGTCACATGGTACGGAATTAATTACGCTGGGACGCAAGTTACGTAGTGAGACTTCCAAAACAAAGGAAAGTCGGGCTGGACTGGTACAAGTTCCTTTGGTTTGGNGGAAGTCTCACTACGTAACTTGTGTCCCAGCGTAATTAATTCCGTACCATGTGACCGGATCCTGCAAAGGGCCTATAGCTTGTTGCTGTTGTGCAACTCGCTAGTCTTTTCAGGGCAATGTAATCGGGACACTCACAGGAACCGTGCTCCCGCCGGGGCCAGGTTCAACAAAGGATGGCAACTCTATCCACCCGAAAAATCATCAACCCTGACTGGATGGTGATTTACCCAATGGATAGATTACGTTATCCACCTTTTTGTTCAACCGGGCGAGATGTACAGCTAGGGGTTGCTCTGAACAAATGTTTTGTTACAGTTCGTTGCCAGTTCAATACTGGTCGTTACTCTGGTTTCTAGGATTCTAGTTCCGGATTCCATGCTTTAGGGTTTCCCGACATTACATCAATCAAAATTATTGAATACGGAATATTTCACCAGAAACTGAGATCTTTCTCTCACGAGAAACGGAAATGAGCCCACGACCGAAGGTTTGTTTGCAATTATAAAATGTAATTTAAATGTTCGAATGTCACAGGAAGGGTTCACCTTCACCACCTGTCGGCCGACACTTACAACAAGAGATGACTGACAGTGGCGCAGCCAGAGCAAGAATTTTACTGTGAACTGATATCACACACTAAACGTGTACCAAGCTTCGACAATCCCGTTTTTAAAACATGAACGTGGAATAGATGGTACAGGGAAGTGACTAAGAGAATATTCGACCACTGAAAAGAACCGCAAGAAAGGATAAGGGGAGGACAGCATACGTTATTACAATGTTTCCTTTATTCCTACCACAGATCACAACATTCTCTTAAATTACCTTCATTAACACTAAGATTTTAAGGATAAACAAAATACATTACAACACGTTAACGACATGACTTCAAGCAGGCACAATTTCTTCCATTTTTTTAAAATTTTATATTTTCCTTCCCTTTCGTCTATTTCTCAACGTGTAAGGTAAAACCAATCGCTAATACTAACCAAGCTGGTTGGTGTAGGTAGTGGCGAATGCCTGTAGTTTCAGTACTAATCTGTAATTGAAAAGTTAGTCGGTGCAAAAACTTTGGCTCCCTAAATTTGATGAGGCAAAATCTCAAGTCATCCACGTTCTTTAGTTACTCTGGATCAACAATTCCCTGAGACAATGAAACCAAAATATGAAAGTCGGGGTATGATTGATATTCACGTTTAGAAAACACCCTGTAAGAAAGCGCGCACCAACAGCACCAGCAAAGACAACATACATTTTGATAATTGAACAAAAGATTTTTCTTTCTTTCCATCTTTTTCTCACGGTGCTTTCCAAAAGAAGTAGAGAACACTTAGTTCTTCGTGTTGCTATCGAGATATAAGATCACTTTTCAAAGTTTGGAAGAACTCGGAAAAGCTGTGAAAACACTCACCTATCGGCTCGTGTTCCCACAGCATTTGTCGTTCTCCCTAACTTCTACTGCTTTTCTATTAGAAAAAAAAATGATTATGAGATCAAGATTTCTGTAAGGCAATAATTGATGAGGCCGCAGGCCGAATAAGCTATTACCTCATAGAAATCGAGAGCGAATAATCACATTGTTTTAGCAGAATTCTTACTGAAATTTGCTTCAATTTTTTCTATTATTTCAGTCCAATTATTTCTTGTCATAGATTTACACCTAATGCATTAGAAAAAGCGCGCGGATGGATTTTTACTCGATTATCATTTATCTATTTATTTTATCTATCTTCTATTTGTACTTAGCTTATCTTAAATAATTACATCTTGTTGTATAGCTGTACGTACGAGAGCTGACCACTCATTCACGGATCAGCTTTTCTATATACCTTTACATAAATTAGTTACAAACAATATACACGAGGGTCTTCGTTTTGCACAAATTCTTAGGAAGAACGTGAAACAGTGTTATTTGAAATCGGTAATGCGCTTTTCTCTTTTAAGTTACTGATTATTTTATTCACATAAGGAAAAGAATAATCAGGCCAGGTAGTTTTACAAACATACCTACACCTTGGAATAAATAAACTCTCAGAGAGTATACCTTGAGAGGAGATTCTCCCATTCCTTGCCTATTAGTTCCCGATCATCTTCTTTCAGACACTACTTTCAAGCACTCCCTGCGATGCCAAGCAATACTTTGAACAAAGATCTTGTGTGTGCCGATCCTGCATTAACGCCTGTCCCAACGCAGCGTATGTAGCACTGGATCCTCGAGCTCTTGTCCAGCTAGTCAGCATACCGAAGCACTTTTCAAACAGTGTCTTCTGGTCGTAGTCAATGTGTTCCACTTCCTTCTCACCCAACAGAACGCGACCTAATGAATCCCACTGTACGCCCACGTCACGTGCTATGTGCAGCAGATCATTACTGGAAACAAGACCAGGTTTAAAACGAAGTCCATCTACAAGACAATCAATTGTATCAAGTTAAAAGCATAACCGCTCAATCTTTGGAAACTGTGTAAATAACTCATTTTCAGGTAGATATGGAATAGCAGCTACATTCCTCAACATTCATTTTTATCGTAATCAACTCTTCCCACTCAACATTTAACTGCAGACTAAGAAAGTCTACCAGATTAGGGATGAGCACAAAACACTAGAATCTTAGCTGGGAAGGAGAAATTTTCCTACCTTGCCGATCTTTCCTTTACTACTTACCAACTCTACAATAAAATTACACCACTCATTGACAACTGAATCACCAGCTTCACAACTGTATCACCAACTAGCTTTTATTCCCATAGGTAAACCATGTTTACTCTTTAGAAACTGAAAGATTTTATTATCAGGCTACAAGACACGTTTACCTGTTTTCTGATCTCTGTAGTCGAAATACTGAGAAACGAAGAGAAAACAAATATTGGACATTAATAAAAACTTTAATCTTTAAAACGACTAAAAGCTAGCACGATTATGTTAAACGATATCTTTAGCAAGAACATTGAACTTTTTCTAAAACAGGGATGTTTAAGGTATGTCCCTTTCACTCGTGCACTCATCAACCTTGTTTTCAAAGCCGTTTAGTCGAACATTGTTTACAATTGCTTTGTATATAACCATTGTACACTGTTCACTGAGGTTTATTGACTTGACAGTTCTCCTGATAAACCACAAACTTGTGTCGGTCTCATGTAATTAAGGCTTCTTGGAAAAGTTATTACAATCCGTAGAACAGACTTCAAATAGAATTAAACCTAGATCGTCATAAAGGCAGCTAAAAAATCTTCAAATTGAGCCGTGCACCATTCTCTTTAGTGGGCTAGTTCCAGTTCAGCCTGAGAGATGAAAATCGTCAATGTTTGGAAAAAACCTCGTCCCTGGATCAACTTACAAACAGTCCATTATATCCAAGTTACACTGACAACTTACAGAATGGCTACTTAACCTGAAAAGGTGTTTTGTGGAGAACAAACTCAACGCCAACCCAGGCAGACTTCAAATCCTTCACGATTGATTCTATAATAGTAGATTATTCTCAGTTTGTACGTACCTTCATCCAGGGTTGAATCTTGTCCACAGTAAGTACGGAGTTCAGCTTATAGGTCCTATCACATCTTAAAGGTTGTGAGGCTAAGGGAATGAAGTGCGCGCAGTCAGGGTGAAGACAGGAGTGGACATGATGCCATGAACAGCCCTCAGGATCTTCATCTTCACCAACACACAGATCACAGCGAGCACACAGCTGCCATGTCATGGAGTGTAGCCATGGACACTGCTCAGCAAGAAACTGAAGAATGTCTTCAACAAAACTGAAGACGACAATAATCAACCATTACTACACATACGGTGATCCTCGCGCTAAAAATACATGCGCGTCCAAGCTATACACTTACAGAGGAAAAAAATGAAGTCAAATAAGGCCCCCCATAATAACACGAACAATGTACTCGTCTATACCAAATCAACCACGCGCAAATAGTTGATTGGTTAAGCTTAGTGTAACGTACACAAAAAACAGGATTATGACAGTGTAGGGTGCTTTCCATTCAACATTCCCAGAAATGTCTAGTGGCCAATGGAACAACAGTTTCCACAGTTTTCGGAAAAGAGGACACATCCGCGAGCTGTACCCAAATTTCCGAAAATTTTTTCTGGGAATTTCTGTTCCTATTGATTTTCATCTCGGAATTTCCGGGATTTTCGGTTAAATGGTTCGCATTTCTGATCAATCAATCAATCTTTATTTGTACTCACTCTTGCTAAAAAAAAAATCACAATGTTCAATGAAAATATTAAAAGTTTCACAGTGATTTCCTTTGTTTTGACATGCTCGGAACAAAATATAACGGCCAAACTCTCGCATGTAAACAAAAACAAACGTGTGGCTGACAGGGATCCTTTACGGTAAACTAAAAGGTTTGCTCAAACTCCAGTTCTACAAACCTGCAGACTTGCTGACAGATGGTAACAGTCTCTTGGCCGTCCTCTGACTTGCCCTCATGAACCAAATGAATTGTGATGACACTCTTGAAGCAAGCGAACGTCAGATTGTAGTTGTTTCTCTTACAAATAAAAAATCGGGCTGCATTTGCGGAAAGTTTGGGCGGTCGGGCAGCAAGATCGTGGGAGGCGTACTGACCAAACAACACAAGGAATCTGGAAAACAAGCCATAAGGCACATATCCAGTGTGAAACTGAATGTAAATTGGTCCAACTGAGCCTTGGCAAATTAATCCTGATATTTCCTCTTCTGGCTTGGCAGTCATCATTGAAGGCACAAGAATGAGCACCTTGTCCTTCTGAACATCCCAGCGACAAATGAGGTTGGATTTTTCCATGATCGAAAGAAGCGAGTTTTGGGAAAGTGAAAGGCTGAGGTTCTGACAAGCATAGTTGATAAGTTCTTGAGACAAGATGCCATCTTTAGCAAGGGTCCGGCGATGTTCACGGATTCGCATTGGTTCTTTCTTGCTTGGAACAACAGTTATGATTTGACAAAAGACATTGATTAACCACTGTGGGTCCAGAATAACCAAGCTGCTGGAATTGTCAGCCTCGTTGAAGTAAAGAACTGCACCACAATCACACAGGAAATGAAGCAGCTCTTCACTATCTTCCTGGAATTCAAACTGACATATTCTGTTAGAAATGGCTTTGAAATCCGTCTTAGTAATGTGCTTGACGCCACTGCTGGCTAGCCGATGGAGTACTTTCTCAACGCGAAGCCACTGCAGAGGAATTTCTCGCTTTGTGTGAGGTAACGTTGCAGCTACGGAAAGAATCTTCTTCCTCAGCCTCTGGACATTTTGATCTTCATGTTGAAACGGTTGACCAGCACGAGTATTGTCGACCACAAATTTCTCGTCAACAATATGCGATGAAAAGGCCTTTCCCTCAAAACTGTCCAAGATGACATTCATAACGCGCCATGGATCACCGACCACTTTGTCTGCATGCGTTCCAACTAATATGACAGGTGGCTGAGCAATGTCTACGGAATCCACACTGCTGGGATCCTGAAAAGAATGAACCAAGTCCATCCATTTCATGAGATGATCAAGACCGGAGTCGCCCCTGTTTGACATCTCCATCCCCCGCTCACGCGACTGTTCACAAGGTTTTGCACGAGTGTCTGGCCTTTGGAACAGGTCTTTGCTTAGGTCAGATACCAACAGATATACAGCCTCCCGTGACATGAATATCGGATGTATGGCATGATAAAGGGATTGGCCTGCAAAGTCCCAGATTACTGGCCATATCTCGTCGACTGCAGTTGTTTGATTGTCTTGTACGAGGATACCTTCTACCAAGCTGATGATCTCCTGTGGCAGATCACCAAACGGATCGTGATCATTAGTGAACACTTCATCTTGAAAGATTGGCGAGGTAGGCTCCATATGACTCACTGCTAAAGACAAGGAGAAATGATTGTGTGTGACAAACAACTTTCACCCTTATGTTGGAATTTAAGGAAGGATCCTTAAATGAACATCAATGAAGCAACTGAAAAGTAACCAGTTACTATGTACACAGCCAAACCTGGCACACTCTAGGAGAAAACATATAAGCGAAATTCCCACTGCTACGTTATCTCACCCGCGTTAAATGGCTTGAATTTCAAAGTAAAAATCGTTTTAAATAAAATGATGAAATTTAAAAACTGGACGGCCTAGGTCCATGGAAAAAAATGAATGTGGTTCAACACGCGCGAGAAGACGCGAATGTGGAAATTCACCTTTAAACTACAAAATGACAGTGCCAAGCTAACAACAAAACAGTTGGTTGATGAACAGTCAGGGGCATACAACATCATTGCCATTATTTTCACTTCCCTGCTGATGTACTACAACAAGGATTAATTAAGCACACAAGACAAACAAATAAAGATGCAAACAAAAAACAAACTTAATCAAAAACGTTGCGTAAAATGGAAAATTAGTTTCTAAAAATAAGTACTTAGAAGTACTTTGATTCATAAAATCCTTTCACAGTAGGACTTACAACTGCATGTACCTAGTCAGTCCCTACTAACTTGCATGTTTTAACTCGCACCACTTCTAAGATTCTACAACCTAAGTGCTAATTTTAGTACTACACATAATCCAAATTGATATTTACCTCCCATGGGTGGGGAGAGTGGTGAACCTTGAGAGCTTCCTATCCCATTGGATAGAACACTGGTCTGAGAATGAAACTTTTCCAAATCAGCATTAGATTCAGAGCTGCCTACTCCATTAGCATGACATTTCTTTTCTACAGGACACTCCTCAAGCATATCACAAGAACTGCGTTTGGTGGGCGGCTCTTCCAGTTCATCAGAACTTCCTGACAGCTGCCGAGCCACTAGCTGTGCACTCTTATGATCAAACACAGTAGTTGTTTCATCAGACTGGGATGCTGGCTTCCACGGCCGTTCTCCAACGCTTAACAAGGGAAGGTCCATCTGCACTCCTGCTGTGCTGGCTTCATCTCTGTTGAACTTGTCACCCTTCAAAGATCTCTTAACACTTGTCTTACCCGCATGGTCTTGTCCAATCAGCATGACTCGCACACGGATGTCACATGTTTTACCACGTTCTAAGGCTCGTCTGTATGCTGCTTTGGCTTTACTGCCTCTTGCAAGAATGGCTGGTGGAATAAGACCTGCAAAACAGAGAAGAGTAATTTTTCACTGGCTGAGTGAATGACATAAGTGAAAAATGTTCTTCTCACACACCGCTAGGGGCCTTGGTATCGGTCATGTCACCTGTGGGGTGGGCAGTCTTTTCTGTTGCATCTGCCACTGTCGACTTTCCCACCCACTCACCGGAAGATTTTAAAGTATAATGTACAGGTGTTTTCGTTATTTGTATTAGCTTTGATTTTGCAATAAAGGTCAGGCTGCAGCAGTCAGCTTAACATTGCTACCAGTGGTGTGTGAGAAATACTTGTTTTGAGCCAGTCAGTCTCTAGTTACTGATTACCATACATTTCTTTTTAAAATATGTTCTGTTTGGCAATTTTTTGATACAGTAAAGAGTGATGAGTACTAAAGGAGACAAGGCAAAATTGGATACAATGTACTCTGATTCCCTCTTTCTGTATATATCAAAGAATACTTTTAACAACTATTTGTATGCAACTCCATGTAAAAACTCTTGAACTTCAAATTGTGTTTACCATTCACACCAAAATAATAAGATATAATCTGCATTTACCTCTCTGTTCTTTGTCCAATTTCACAGGCTTAGTGAGTTGTGTTTTCAGAGAACCACGCTGGTGTTTGTAATACTGGAAAGTAAATATCAATGGTCTAGTTTCACAGTAATATTCTAGTTAAGAAAACAATTCAATCAGTACTTCCTGTATGCAAAAATGTAACCCAATATAACCATTTTTTCTCGCTCAGTCCCTCCTTCCCTCGTGTGAGAGCATATGAGCTTCTTCTTACCTGCCTGCCTCCTTCCTTTTCTCAACCTCAATACCTCTCTTTCTTATATCCACTGGATAACCTAGCTTAGATATCCCTTTCTTTTCTTTATCTAGATCTTTAACTTAAGGTGGCTCGTACCAGTTTTCAGGTTTTTGACGGCTCATAACTTTGTAAGAATAGAACAAAAAGGCAGACCAGGGCCATTGTAATATTTTTGTAAGTTTGGATTATATAATTTATACTTGATCTAAATAAGCTGTTATTTTGTTGTCAGTAGTTACCATGGCAACATTCTAAAATGATTTTCCAGACCTGATTTTTTGCTTATGTCACTAATAACTAAAAAATTGACTGGTGACCCTTTAATCAATAGCTTTTGGCATCAGAAAATGAATATGCACAACAATTTTAAAATAATTTTACGGAGCCAATTTCTTGTAAACTTGGAAAAACGACAATTTGCACAAAGTGCAAATTTCCTTCCGTAGTATTTTTTACTTTTTTTCTGATGCTTCCTCTCAATAATATTATATTAAAACAATAAAAAAAAGGGGTCACTGGGTTTGCTTTCATGTAAAAGCCTTCGCGAGTTCCGTTACTCCCACGTGCATAGACACACATTCAAAAATCCAGACTTTATAAGATCAGCAGTTGCTCATGAGCTGTTTTGACTACCACTGACTGCTTCGTGTGCCTGCACAGGCGAGCGGGCTCCGAACAGGCGTTTTGTTTTGTTTGCTGCTAAAACTTCATTTACAGTTGTAGTTGTTGTTAAAGACAACCTCCTGGGCTTACTCTGTAGGATTTTCACACAAATTCTGGGTAGATTTGCGATGTTTTGCGAGTCCCTTATACGCTTCCGGTGGCTGTCAAGATCGATCAAGTTTCCTTTGAAATTTGGGAAACATTGAATTCCCGAAACAATTTTTCTTAAATATACAGAATTGACTAAAGTTGTTCTAGCAGGTAAAGCCTCCTTTAAATGCGAATTTCGTACTAAAGTGACCGTGCGAGGTAAAAGCCCCGCGCCGCCATATTTGTTTGGGACTTTCCGGTTTTAAATCTTGCGCCTCTATCGTACGTGTTACTCACGCATGACGCATGATGGTGATCTACTCACCGCGCGAGAAAACTGGCACCAGCCACCTTAATATACAGTGTACTTCTCAGACAATTGACTTATCATTATTCACAGCTCACCTCTACCAGATGAGACAAGCTGCTAAATTGCTGCTTGTTATCAACAGTGAACATGTTTTTCTTGTTGAGTACTCTGTAGTGGTTTGACTTGCCTTTACACCTGTGGATACAGCAATACAAAGAGCTTGAGGTGTAATTAGCCCAGTACTGACAGCTGAGTGGCTGAAAGGTTTAAGTGTTTGCTTCTCATCTACTTAGGGTAATTTGGCTAATTTATGACAAATGGGAATTAATTCAATCTTAATTATTAAGATTTAACAAGGAATCAAGTGGAGTAAAACTTTGTACCAAGATTTTTTACATTGTATTGCAAACGTCTGTGGGACTGTTTTAATTACCAACAACACCAGATGTTGAAAAGCATTTTGAAGTTCATATTGAAACACTTGACAGTACTGGCGAAATGACCACAATAGTGAAATGTTACCTGTGAAATTTATTTTGCTTATTTTCAGGCAACTATTTGTATCTTAAGCTTCTAAAAAATGAAAAAAGGACCATAGAAATACTTAAAATTATTCTGGTTCAAGGTTTCTGTCCTCTAAAAGCTGAATTGCTTGATTTCCTATCGGATTTCATCTTAATGTTTTTGACTCACATTACGAAAATAAATGAAACTTTACAGATATTCAAGACACAATACCATAATCATAAATTAAATATGAGCCTCAAAAGGCTCTTAAAAGTGTCAAATAGTTGCTGGTTAACTAAATGTTCTGGGCTAAGCCCTTCTTCTTCGGGCTAAGCCCGAAGCATTTAGTTAACCAGCAACTATTTGACACTTTTAAGAGCCTTTTGAGCGTCATATCTAATTTATCGGCATAGTGTCACACATCTTATGAGTTTTTTTTGCTCATTCCTACCATAATCTAACTCACCAGACATAAAGATAATAACATCCTGGATGTGATATGCTTTCTCTGACTAGGAACATTCCATCTGTAACATCACTGAGCTGACTGACAACACAGTCTATATCACTGGCTGACATTTTACCAACGTACCAGCTGTGTCAACAAAACAGGACATGCGCAATGACATGGACTACTGGTTGGTACTATGTATCTGTTTACCAAATTGTGTTTGATCACATCTGTTTTATGTTACAACACATGACTTTTTGTGAGGTACAATGTACTGAATATAGGATAATCTGTCCTAATGGAAGGTTCTGACATAGAAACCATGCATGATTATATAATATAATATGTCTCTAAATATATAATTTATATATCATTATCATTGCCATTGTCAGTGTCAGTGTCATTATCATTGTCATTATCATTATCATTGTCATTATCATTGTCATTGTCATTGTCCTTGTCCTTGTCATTGTCAGTGTCATTGTCATTGTCATTGTCATTGTCATTGTCATTGTCATTGTCATTGTCATTGTCATTGTCAGTATTATTATTATCAGTATGGGGCATCCATCTTTGAACAAGAAAGAAAGAAAGAGGGTGAAGTAACTCTAAAAGCCAAACTTGATAACTAAGTGTAGGAGTTTGAACATCAGTTGAATGAATAACATGGGGGCTGTCAATAAGTTTTGATTCATCTATAGCCTTGATCTTCACACCTGTAGCAAACTTGCTACTTTATGGTGAATTATACCACTTACAGGCAAGTTCAGCTGTACCAACAAGGGCCCATCAAGCATACTCAGCTGTACAGCCCCGGCCAAATGATTGCAACATTTCAACTCAACATATTGCAACATTGTTGGGCACAGCATGTTGCGCATGTTTGGCCACCCTGTTGCGACTTGTTGTAACATGTTGCAATATGTTGGGTGTTGTTGGCTCAAATTTGAAAATGGTCAAATTTTTCATGCAACATTTGTGGATGTTGCATGATGTTGTAATCGTTTGGCCAGGTTCATGCAACAATGTTGTGCCCGGGCATGTGCACTAGTTTGATTTTCAATACCCAACATATCGCGACACATTGCAACAGGAAGGCCAAACACACTCAACATGTTGCGTCCAACAATGTTGCGATGTGTTGTGTTCAAATGTTGGGATTGTTTGGCCGGGGCTTAACAGGTGCCATGGGTTACAGCTCTGATTGACAGCCCCAAACATTTATTTAATTAAGTTTAACATTAACTTAAGAACAAAAATGTCGGGTAAAATTTAACAAACAAAGTCTACATGTGTATGCAGTTCGTTGCCATACTGCCCAGCACTTACTCCTCATTCCAAGGGTGAACTTGAACGTAAATTGTTGAGTTTTCCATGATGTGATAGTCACAAAGAAGAAAAGTATCCATCACCAATGGCTTGCCATCCAGCTCTAACAACTGACAGTCTGCAGGCACCCCACTTAACTCTTCTACCTGCTCTTTGAGGGTAAGCACTTGATTAAAAGGACTTGTGAGAAGTGAGAATGTCTTTGACTCAACTATCACACGAAGCTGGATTTCTGAGATTGCATTTGTTTGAAGTCGAGCTCTTGGCAGTGTGTTGCCTGGCAAATAAAGCAAAATGTTGAAAGGTCATTAATGTAGTTTGATTGTAAGTGAAGTATTACTTGCTGGTTACATTACGGTTTTCTTTACAAAGGTAGCAAATGTTACATAAGCAATAATTATTACTAAATTGAATAAAGGCATTATTTGGCCTCTACAGTGTATGTTGCTGGTGATGGTGAGATTTGCATACAGACTTAAGCAACTCGCTTAAGTTAGAAAGTTTAACATTTCATTTAATTTCAAAAACTCTAAAAACAAACAAAAGGATTTCTGTGAATATTTTCAAAACATTTTGAAAGCCTGTGCATGATCAATGGAACATGCCTAAATAATGAATACTACAAATTATTATATAATAATAATTATTTATACCATGCCATGGAAAATGCAAGCAATTGGAAATTTTTAAACAGGAAAGCCTTGTATTATCCACATCATTACACCCAACATTCTCATGATGCAATGCATTGATTGTGTCACCACTGTATTTTCGATAGCATTATAATTGATAAACAAATGGTTATGCACCACTTTATCATGATACACCATGGAATTCAATATTTCACTTGTCATTTGTATTTTCTTAAAGCCATGTGTGTATACATGTACTGAGAATATGCAAGTGACTTGTGGGATATCATATGGTATACATAATACCACTCAAAAGCATTGCATGATTGGTCTGTATTTGAAATTAGTATATACCACACAAGTGAATAGTGCTTTTCGAGTGCTCTGGTTGGTTAACTCCGAGGTGATTAGCAAGTACTATTCACCTCCGAGCAGCCGGCAAGAGAGATTTTAAAATTTCCGACCGCTTGTCACACATAAAATAATGTTTTGGTCTGCTAATTATTCAGCTTGAGTGGTATATACTAAAACAATTATTCACCTCAGTGTCAGTGAAAGTGATGGATATTTACCTCCACTTCGGTGAGTAATTATTAATTATTACTGAAATCTAAACCACTTGACCATGCAGCCCGCTGAGTAACCTGTCATTGATGTTTATTTCTTGTATAGTGATTGAATGCTACTAAGAAGAATTCCCTGACATTACCTTCTCCTGTATGCTGAGAAGAATCATCAGCACTGCCGCCATTGAACTCACACCTACAGACAGGTTCTGTAAGTTCAATTGGCAGACATCCTGTGTTGTTCTGGTAGAACTGTGATAAAGGTAACTTCATCAGAAACAACATCCAAATGATGAATATTAATTTATAAGATTTCTTATGTATGTGTAAATACTTTAAAACATATTCAAACGGCATACGATATCTTTAATAACAAAATTGTCCTTAGGAACATCTTCTGCAGGTAAGGAAAGCATACTGTACAATTTTACAATGCAGTAGTTCATGTTAGTTTTGCAGTTTCCCAAGGTCACTTTTAATCATTCAGTTGATTTGCTTTTACAGACACAGCTACAGTGAAACCAAAGTTGCATAAAACACCTGCTTGGTCAGCATGTAAGTCAAACTTTGGAAATCTCTCTTTTGCATGCAAAATCGCTATTTAATACGCACAATGTATGCAGAAAAAGAAAACTGGTTCTTGATATAATATATAGAACAGGCAGAAGAAAGTGATAAGAAAAATTGTGTTGTTAAGAAATGACTAAATGAAGAGGTATTATTACTACAGTTTGTTTTCCTATTGTTCAGACAATTAATTAAGAATAAAACAAATTATTAGATCATATATTACCGTAACCATCTCAGTGATATTGTCAAAGTACTCTTTGTCATTGATGGTAAAAGTCATGTTTCTTTTACAGCTCACTTTGTAATGCTTGGTTTTACCTTCAATACTAAATAAGAGAGATTACAAAATTGATTTACAGTGTCCTTAATGAATTACTGCTTGCTATATTGTTTACAGTAAATGAAGAGCCAAAAAAGGGACTAGTCATTCTTTCCCCCTAGGAGGAGAATCAAGTTTGAAGGGAGTAAAAGAAGATAACAACGTTAAATAGCTGTGATAAAATTCCTACTTTAACTTGGTAATTGATCACAAAGACTTCACAGTGTGGTAACAACATCAGTGACACACTCTGCCATCACATTGAGTGCAAATTTTTTGTCCTTGCCACATTCTGACATCAACTGCAGTGTTAGAAATAAGCACTTGCCTGCTCGCCAATGCAAGTGTGAAAAGTGTTAGGTGAGTACAAATCATCGATCACCTGCCCATTTGGCGAGCATGATTTTCATTCTTGGGAAATTTTTTAAGCTTGAATGTTGATAATGCTCCATTATATTTTCCATTTTTGCAAAGATATCTCTAGACCAGTGCTTTTTTTACCTAGTTTTTTTACCAAGCCTAGTAAACAGGCCAGGAATTTAGGAGTTGCATTCGATCAATGTTTGGATTTCAAAGAACATGTTAAAATAACCTGCAAGAGCGCATTTTTCCGCATTCGTAGTATAGCTAAAATTAGACGATACCTATCCCAGAGTACTACTGAGACTATTGTTCACGCTTACATAACATCGCGTTTGGACTATTGTAACGCCCTACTGTAC